CATATTGGTTTTAATTGACTCAACTAAATGTTGAGGATTTGAAACCACCCATATGAGACTACAAGGAGTTCAGAAGATGTTCGAATCAATAAGCGGTGTGGGTCCTAATACTAGTTCTTTAGAAATGTCCAAAGAGAATCCTAAGGCTAAATCCTAGGTTCTAGAGAGAGGAAAAAAAAAGATCTCATAAAAATGAGGTAAGCACACTCTAGTGACTAACTATAGCCTACGCAGTCCAAAGTTCATTCAGCTCCCAATTTTGGCCTCTATGGCCTATAGAAGTTATTGCAGCTCACCACTAGAATCTACGTGACTAACTATATCTTACATGGTCTACAACTCATGAAGCTCCCAACTACGACCTCTATGGTCACAGTGGTCAAATACTGCATTATCAAAGAAGAAGGCATGTGGCTTAGTAGAAGCACTATATTTCAGGAAAGTGTAATGCCATCATTTTATAGAAAAGAGACAAAATTTAGAGTAGATATAATACTGGATGACTAGTTAAGAGGAGGTGGAGTCAAAAGAACCACAACCGTGTTGCACATTGTAGTATACATGAATTTGAGTAAATCTGCCACATCGATGTCCACAAGAGATAGCAAGTACAACATGAGCATTTAGAGGATGATGATTCTACAATTCCTCGGCACAATTAACAACAATATTTTTCTCTTCATTACATAGTAGTGAATATAGTTCAAGAGTAATATGTTAAAATTTGATCTAAATAGCTACCTTTGAGGCATTGTAAGTATAAGGAAGAATATTAAGACTAAACAAAACTATACATTCAAGTAGGGGAGTGTTGTGAGATATGTACTTCCTGACATAGAAATGAGACGAAAAAGAACACAAGCAAACACATATCGTTTACGTGGTTTGATCCAACTGGATCTACGTCCACGGGAGGGAATCAATCAAATATTTCACTAAGGCAAAAGAAATGGAGAATACATAGCTTATACATAGAGATGAGCCCTCATCTTTTTTCTATGGCCTCCCTCTCAAGCGACACCTTGATACAAGGCCTCAAGATGCTCTCCTCCTCTCTAACTTTATATCTATTCTCTCCTCCTTTATGGTAGCTTAAGATATCTTCTCCCTTTTCTCTCCTAAGCCTCACATCCTTAAGATCTCTTCCATTGCTCTCCTAAGCCTCACACCCTCTCTATTTATAGAAGGAAGAGAGTGGTAGGTAAGCGGTAGGTGAGCGGTAGGTAAACGGTAGGTGAACAGTTGGTGAGATGTGGTAGGTGAGCGGTACCACATTACAAAAGTGCCCTTTTACCTTAGTTCATTAATTGGGGGTCAAAATAACAATTCTCCACCTTGACCCTCAATTGAGAAGCTTCGAAGTAAAGAT